TCCCTACCTCATTATTTTTGTTTGAGTAGATGTCTCCCCCCCCCCCCCCCCCCCCCCCCCCCTGCTGTGAATGGATGGTAGGTAATTAAGGGGCAGGGCTGCTGGTAGTGCGCTATCTGTGTGAGGTGCTGAGTGGATGTGGTTAACAGGCCGGAGGAATGCACATGGTGAGAGGAAGCCTCCCTGTCTGGTCAAGGAAGACAATAAAAAGCTTGGGGTGCCCATCAAGCTCCAATTCCATAAAGCTTCAAAGAGCTTTGAAGTGAGAAGAAGCTATGTTGATACTTTTCACCACCACAATGCTTTATCATGCATTCTTCTTTTTTTGTTATTCTGCACTTTGAATTCCCTTTTCCAGAAGAATTAGATGAACCTACCTCTCATATCTTCCACCTAAGCTAAACTAAGCTGTCATCTGTCAATATATCAGGTTAAAAAAAGTCTAGCCTGTCAATCCAATTACATCCAGGGGCACCAACAGACCTGAGGCAGCATGAGGCATCTCTTTCAAAGATAAGGGCTCCCTCTGACCTACTTAACCCCAGACTGGAATGTAGCTGTGTGTGCAGAATGTACAGCTTTAAAGGGATTCTGGGGGATGGACGGATCATCTCCATTCACTGCAGCTTTTCCAGACCAGTGGGCGTAGGGTTGTGGATATAGATGTATATGATGGCAGGGATGGCTGCGTCTTTGAGTGGGCTGGTTAGTGGCGCTCCTGGACGGGAACTCTTTCTCTGCTTAATTGCCTGTAGCGTTAATCACAGACAGCCTCAGTTTAGCCGGCAGCAACTCCTGTTCAAGTTTTCAAGTCATGCACTGGCACTCACTGAAACTCCCGGTAGCCCCTTATCATGTACGTCCACAACAACTTACTATAGTGTAACTTTATGTAAATCATTACGTAACATAGCTGCTATTGTTATGAGATTCTACATTCAATGTATTTAATTTCATTGTTTGGCTCAGGTTCCTCGTAACCCTAACAAAAGATTGTATTTCAATGTAAATTGTTATACAGCCTCCTACAATGGCATTCCTCCTATAGAGTTCTTCCGGTGGATTACCCACACATTAGTTACAGGCTCTCTGCTTTGGGTGTTGCTGTTAGATGGCTTCTTAGAAACTCGTTTGAATCAATACAATAAGTCTCCATAACACTTTCATTCAGTTGATGTTGCATAAGCAGGAGCACAGGACTCTTTAATTGACACTGCAGATATGACGCTAAACACAATAGTGGTTTAGTAATGTTAATTGCATGTTATTGTAAAAGTTTTTTCATCTAAGTGCAGCTGTTTCTTGTCATTTATTACAGCATAACAAAACCATATCCGTTTAATAATGCACGCAACAGACAAGGAAGTGAGAGCCAAAGCAAAGTTGATTTTGACTGCCGTGTACAGTAAGTGTTATTAAAGGTCTAACCACAGGAGAAACGGCATCACACCCTTAATTATGATGCATGTAATAAACAGCTTGATGTGAATGAAATGAAGTGTCCCTCCCTGACCTTCTCCCCTCCACACTTCACACAGCCGTCCTGCCACCAGCCTGTGTGGACTCTGCAGAAAGGTGCTAATAAGACAGCAGTTTGGTTGTAGGCTGTCAAGTTGGTGGTAAAGTTTACAGTGGACTCACACCTCAGGGCCCAGATGGTCTGTGTTGTCCAGAGGAAATGTAAGTTTTGAATGGAGCCAAAGCTGGCTGTGTGCTACTTGCCTGGAGGGCTCTTAAAGGGGGGGCTTGTTGATGGAGGGGTTTCCTAAGTGGATCATCACATGCCTATGCACTGAGGTCAGCTGGCACAGCTGGATCCTTTAAGATCCAGCATCCAGCGCCGGCGAGGTTTACAGGATTAAATTTGAGCTTTTTGAGGACTTTTGGCCTTTTTGGTACTTGAAGAATGAAACATCCCTCGGAAACATGCCCCTCTTTAATGCTGGTGAAGATATTTTGTCCTTTCTCCCATCCTGTTTCATATTGGCTAAAAGGGCGAATCCACAAGCATGTCAACATTTTTTTTTTATATTAGCTTTTCTTAGTATTCCGCTCTAGTAACCTTTTGGTTGTCAGAGTACGTTTTTTACATAAGAATTTCAGGATTCTAAAAAATGGAACAAAAGCATCTTGATTTTTCACTTTGCTCTGTCAATGAGTGAATTTTGCAGACCACACAAAGCACAGTTAGTTTCACTTTTAAACAGCAGAATTCCCCTCAAGCTTCCCAGCATAACGCTTTGACCTTGACAGTCCGTCTGGAATGCAGGTTCAGTTTTCGTGTGTGCGTCTGTTGTCCACTGCGGTTTATTTGCCAACCTTCAGGCTAATTATTAACACAGCATTAAAAGCTCCTTGCGAGGCCCAAGGCAGGTGTAAATCAAACCATCCTGTACATATAAATGACTGTTTTAAATGAAGTCACCTAAAGTCTTTCCTCCATCAAGGGAAAAGAAACCAATCCAGGCCGTCGGTCTCGCTGTCTTCTGACTCATGCTGTTTGATAATGGTCTGTGAAGACTCGGGGACTAATCCCCGGAGGCACCCTGTGTGCTCGGTCCTCCTGCCCTCCGGGGGGGGGGGGGGGGGCAGCCATTCACCGTTGCCAGGTGGGGAGGAGTTTTTTCCCAAGGGGATCAGTGTAGGATGACCTCCCTGCATCCCAACAGCCACCGGGGGAGGAGTTGTGGAGGGGTGTTGAAGATGGCAGTTCAGAGTGGATTTTGAGGGGTGGAAGGGCTTTATACTGTAGATGTATTGCAAAACACGATGCCCTCTTTATCCACCGAGGGGAAACAGGGTCACACACTGTGCACTTGGCTCTGAAAGAGTGAGCAGATTAGCAGTCGCCTCAAGAGCCAGTTTGAAAGTTGTTTTTTTTCTTTGCTTGTCAGCGAACATACAAATCAGCCAATTAGTAACAAAGAATTTCCACCTTGTTACATGGGCGGTGAAAGTTTTTCTTTATGGCCATAGCAATCTCCCCAAAATAGTCATTACTCTGTGATAGCACTGTGCTAGCAAAACAAACGTAACTATGTTCTGTTTTTTTTGTCTAGCAAGATAAGTGTGTGTTGCAACTAACTCATGAGACTTACGTTGGTACCAGCACTTGTAAAAAAAACACCTTTTATCCTAAGGGGAGTGAAGTAATGTATGAAGCTGCCAAGACAGGAAACAACGAATGCTCTTCCCAGATCAAATTTCCAATATTTGACAGTGTTACCGTCATTGATCATGGAGTTGCAGGTACAATCAAGTTTGGGTTTAGAGAAATATCTCAAGATGTGATTCGTTGTCCGCTGGGTTGAAATTCATCACCTTTTGATACATGAGTCAGAATGAATCAAGCAGGAGGGGCTGTGTAAAGTATTACGAACAGAACAGGCAGGGGCTTGTTTTTCTTTTCTCAGTGGGATGTTCTGTCCACAGGGCTTTCTTACAGTTTTCTATGCTCAGAAAAAAAGGCTAAACACTGCTGCAACTATGACTGGCTTTTGTTATCTCCTAAAAGCTTTCCAGTGACGAGAGAGAGTCTGTTCCTGCTGCTATAGGATAAGCATTTGCATGCGGAACATAGTCTGTGTTGTTCCTGTTTCTTTGCCCCTGATGTGGTTAGAAAACAAAAGGCCACAAGGCAGACACAACAGCACAGGAGGAACTTTAGCACAAACTCTGGGTTTATATATTTGACTCATCTGAAATAGTCATTGAGGTGTGTATTTCTCTGAGACACCTTTTCTCTGACTGTGCAGTGCACACTCATCATTCATCAAATTCAAAGTGTGGTCACAGGAGTGGCAGGGATTGGAGAAGGTGACTTAGAAATCATCCAGGACACCTTGGTCTTTCAGTTTTGTCGCTTTGGTGGATGGATCTCAGCACTTTTAGGTATGCTATATACAGTGGGTACGGAAAGTATTCAGACCCCTTTAAATTTTTCACTCTTTGCTTCATTGCAGCCATTTGCTAAAATCAAAAAAGTTCATTTTATTTCTCATTAATGTACACTCAGCACCCCATCTTGACAGAAAAAAACAGAAATGTAGAAATTA